CCCTACAATTGTCATATCATATCATAACATGAATTTGGATGCCTAGTGTTCTTGCATTATAAAAAGAAACTAGTCCATTCACCGACATTCTATCATGATACTGTCAAAAATTGTATCATGATTCTTATGATAACTAGCTTTAAAATATACTAAAGATTATAGAAGTTAGCTCTATAATAAATCATAAGAAAATGAATAGCCTGAATTGTACACCTTAGGTACCTGATTCAATATTGTGAGTTGCAAGAACCACAGAACCTGGTCCATTGGCAACCTTCTCAAGCAGAAATGATGAGCAGCGATTGAAGCAATTGTGTGTGTCCTCAATGGTATTGTGGATTGGGGATGCATACCCCAAAGACTCAGCCAGTTTACTCTCTGTGGACATGTAAGCACCCCTCACCAATTTGAACCCCATTGGAATTCCCATTTTCTCTGCTGCTTTTGTTGTGAGCAACAACCTCTCCTTAGCATCTTTCAAGTAAGTTTGAATGGTTCCAAACACAATGGGCTTGTCATCCTTGTTGTGCATGATGGCTGAAGAGTATGTGAAGTAGTCAATAGCTGGCTGAACTGTGGTGTGTTCTGCATCAACCAACAAAGGAATATTGGCATCCACACATTTTTGGCAAAGTTCAAGGAGTCTCTGGTTGGCAAGTTCAAGATCACTCTCTTCTTCTGGAGTTAGAGGCTCTGGTCTCTTCTGTGTGTGGTACAAAGGGCTTGATTCAGCAAAAATTGGAAGCGAATCTTGCTTCCATGGCAAAATGAATGAAGGGTCTTTCTGTTGCCATCTTAGAAGGTCACTGACTCTTTCTAGCAATGCCATGGGGCATATTGCAGTGATTTTCACAACCGCAAAGCTCACCTAACACGTTAAAAATTTAATTAGCCCTCCATAAGTTAAACAGAACAAGACACAAAAACAGATGAAAAATGAAAGCGAACACATGGTCATGAACCATATAGCCTCCCAAGTACCCACACAATGCTAAAAACTTGATAATGAAATAATTAAAAACTTGAGTTAGAAAATGTGCTAAAAACTTGACAATGAAATAACTAAAAACTTCAGTTAGAAAATGGTAATAGTAACTACACAACTCAACCCTGCATCCATTTCAAGCATTGTGCCATGACAAGACACCAAGTTTTTTTTTTCCCAATTTAACCTCTAGATTCCAAATTTTATGTACAATATAATGAAGCTATGACATAAGAGTGGATCACAGTTCATGTTCTGAGGCAAAGCTGCAAAATTGCCAACCTCGTTGTCCTTTTTCTGAGTGGGACCAACATAACAAATCACTATCATTACAAAACAAAAACAAATAAAAAGGGCTGCCATGACCTTAACTGGCATCTCTCAAGTTGTTGTACCACAATGGTGATTTGCTTACAGTGAGTTATGCATGGTGCCCACTTGTACACTAAATCACAGAAAAGAACAATGCACGCCGCATCGTACGTGTTCCTTGCAAGGACCCCACACAACCATATTTGCTCTATCAATTTTATTTTAATGCATCAATTAATTAATTGATTGATCAAAATATTGGTCTATTTTCGCACAAATTTCACCTATGTTATTCTACCAATTTTTTCCGCTATTATAATTTTAGATGTGATGGAAAACATTAGAAAAAAAAAATGTAAAGCGATTTATATTGGACAAACGGTTGGAGAAAACAAAAATGTGTTGGTACTTTTTTTTTTTTTTCGTTACATTCATTCAATAAATGCATTTCAAAACTATGATTTGACATATCATTAATAGAAATTAAAGGTAGAAAAAGAAACGTAGAAATAAATACCAAAACAGAGCATGAAAAGTCAAAACATCATAACTTCCGAAAAAGATATTACAGTAATGTTTGATTTTTCCTCCCTTTGAAAGAGTGAGTAGAGGCTGTTCGTGTCTCTTTATTTAAATAAAAGATAAAATATAAAATAATTAAAATAAGATAAATTGTAATTAATTAAAAGTAAAAAGTAGAATGTTAAGACTAAAAATAATCATAATTAGTTTACAATGATAGAGAATTAACAAGTGAAAATTAAAATTAAAATTAAAATTATTTTTAGAGTTAAATAAACAAAATAATTCGAAAAAATATCTATAAAAAATCATGATTGATTTATATTGACATAGTTCCAGTGAGTGAACTAAAATTTAAGTTATGGTTACTTTTTAAATTAAATAAAAACTTGTTATAAATTTCCAGCAAAAAAAAAAAAAAAAGTCAAATTTTCCCAACATTTCTACCATGCATGTAAAATTAAACATTAAATAAGAAGTAATACGTTCCAAAAATATTAAATCACTGAACTTTTACATGCAATCATTTCAAAAAAAAAATATATTTCAAATAATCACAAAAATCAAACAAATAGCAATAAATCGATGGTATTAGTTACTTATGAGCAGCAAAAGTGAAAAGATAGTGATTCCGGTGGGACCCATCTAGATGAGTATCCGGAAAGTGAATCAGTATCTTTCTCAGCATTGCATGTGAGAGACGAGAAATTTCTTTGGTAGAAGGTGTTTAAGCGAAGAAGAAGAAGAAGAAGAAGAAACACTTACAGAAGAAGTGGGAAGCGATTTGCTAACATCGACAGTGTGAATGAACCCTCTATGGTTCCTTTCACACCCTTCATTGTCGTGCGCGTCTTCCACTCCATAAACCAGCATGCCGCGCAATCCGGCGTCGTTCAGCGCCCCTATGCTCCTCCCGGCGGCGGCCGCGTCCTCGCCGGCGCAAAAGTGGGCGTAAAACGTGTGACGCATGGCGGCGCTGACTAGATCCCTCAGCAGCCCGCTCTGGAAAACCCTCGACCTCATCACCCACATCCCCACGTCCACCATCGGCCCCACCGCCGCCGCGTGCAGCACCGCCGACGCCCGCACCAGCCGCCCCGACGCCACCGACGCGAACAGCCTCTCCCCGTCGTCCAGCCTCAGCGCCGCCGCCCCCTCCTCCGTCTTCTCGAAGAACGGCGTCATGATCGCCGTCGCCGGGGAGTACGCCGGCTGGGAGCTGTTCACCGACTTTGTGGCGGTGGCGGTGGCGGTGGCGGTGTTGTAGCCGACCGTCTTCAGGATTCTGGGAGGGATCACGCGGGTTGCCATTGTTGTCGTGTGTTCTTTTGTTGCTGAAGAGGTTAATGAATGAGTGTGTGTATATGTCTGTGTCTGAATTTGTGTGTGGAAACGATGGAACATGTTGTGTTGTGTTTATAGGCGCGAGTGTGAGGAAACGGGTCGGGTTAAGTTGGGTAAGTGCATGGCGTGTGATAAGATTAGAGTGGTCAACTTGGGTTATCCGTTTATTATTTTTAGTAATCAAGTCAACTTTTTGCTTTGCCTTGATAGCATTACATGCACGCACTTTTTCCATGTGTGTGTATTTTTCTCTCGCATGTTGTAACTTCTGAGTGCTTTCATTATTTTCTGGCCTAAATTACTTAGTTTGTACTTTTAGGATAATTATTATTTGGCTTTTGTGTTTTTAATTGATTTACTTCGTCGCTTTTTTGTGAAAGTTGTGGTCATTGAGTGACGAAATTATTTATCGATTACAATCTTTAGAAGATTGAACCATTCAAATGTAAGATATTTATTTTAAGTCTGATTTCCTGAGATAATAATATATGTGATTTTCGTACAATGAATTTGAATTATTCTTCGATTAAATGCACATGCAAACCATTTGGATTTATTTATTCTTTAAAATAGAAAAAATTACAAAAAATGATTGTAATGAAAATCGAATTATTTGGATTCTAATGATAAATTTCTTAATAACATATAACTTATGATAAATTTCTTAATAACATATAACTTATTTCCAAGTTAAAAGTAAGTTTTTGGAGAAGAAAAAGTGTTTACATAAATTATTTATACATAAATTAATTTTAATTTATAAAAAAAAAATTATTTTTCTTTCATAATTTTCTCTCTTAAAAGTGCCAATCAAAAAGTTTATTCAAATATATTCTAAATTCGATTCACTTATGTATCAATAATAATGTATTAAAAAAATTCTATCCAAAATAGATAAAAGCATTTGATAATAATTAGTTTATTGATTTTTAAATATAATTAATTACTTTAAATTTTATGATTTTCATTAGTTAATAGTGCAAAATTTGTTGCATTGATAGCACATTTTTATTTTCATTGTCAAGAAGTACCCTCGTCCATACCGGATTAACCTCTCTCAAAGATTTGACATAATCATAACACATCCAAATTAAACTCTAGATTTTTGTAATTTTAGGATTTGTTTAAGGGTAGAAAATATTTGCTCACAATTATCTCAATTCTAATTAAAGGGGTTGTGTGCAGTACTAGTTGGAGGTTGTAAGGAGCATAGAGTTACGATGCAAGAGATATGGGTAGAAAAACAAGAGAAGAGAGTAGTTGGAAGAAGGTGCTATATTAAAGCATAAGGGATATGGGCACGGGTCTAGAGAATAAAGATCGTGTTCCTAGATTTCGATTCCACGTAGATATGAGTTGGCAACATAGGTCGGTGGAATTGGCTTGCGTGGATCCACCTTAACTTGTGATCATCTTTTTTCTCAGCTGTTTCCAGAGCCATAGGATTAGCCCTAAGAAAAAGAAAAAAGAAAAAAAGATTATGATAATATTAAATTATAAATAATACTAATTGACTATCCTTATGGTGAGGTAATGTTCTAAACGGGTCTATTCAAGTTCCTACATCGATCCACTGCTGCTTTAATCGGAAACCTTTTTCATTCAAACGGAATCTGATCCAGATTCTGCCTTTTGAAAACGTGCATGCGTGGTTTATGGGCATGTGTTTTATTTTTATCCATATCTAAGAAATTACTACTAATTGTTGATAATTTAATTAATTTTGAAGATGGATATGATCCGATTCCTCTGTTTTTTCTCCCTACCAGATTTTTTGTGAGCAGTTTGCGTGATTTGGTGGTAATAAATTGGGCCAGTTATTGATGGACTAAAAGAATTCGCTACAAAAGTCAGGGATCGTAATTAATTTTATGTACCAAAAAACAAGAAACTGTACAAGAAAAAGTGACATAATTTGTTCCAATTTAATGATGTAATAAATAAGATTAACCGGTCATTCCTCCTGAACATATTTATGAAAAAAAAAAACTAATATCACACAAATTAAAAAATTAAATACATTTTTGTTTATGGGGAATGCTAATATACGCCTACCTATTTTTTGGTGGGAGTATGTTAGTAACCTACACCAAAATTTTAGGACAAAAAAACTACTCATTTTTTTATTTGGTTAATTTGTATAAAAGATATTATAGTAATTTAATTTAATTTTAAATGAAAATAAAATATTTTCTCTCTTTTATTAACTTTATTCTCCAATTCATTTATTTTTTCTATTAATTAATTTTTTAATTTTTATTTGTTAGGAGGGAGACATAATGAAAGATGAGAGAGAATTGAATTAAAGAAGGAATTTAATAGGAGAGATAAATAAGTTAGAGAAAGAATTTAATAGGAAAGAGAAATGAGTTGGAGAAGGAATTTAATAAGAGAGAGAAATGACTTAGAGAATGAAGTTAATAAGAGAGAGAAATTATTTTTTATTTAAAATTAAATTAAATTACTATAATATCATTTGTACAAATTAACTAAATAAAAAAAATGAATGATTTTTTGTCCTAAAATTTTAGTGTAGATTACTAACATACTCCCACTAAAAAATAGCGTGAGAGTATATTAACATTCCCCTTTATTTATATACAAGTTTAGAAAGTGTATTAATTTTCTTCTTTATAATTATGTTGTTGGTTGATGTAAAGAATTTATTAACTTTGTCAAATTTTTTTTTCTACAGAAAAATTTAAAGAGATTGAAATCAATACCATTTGTATCAATAATTTCTTAATAATTTTTTTTGTATTTTTTTTAATGTGCATTGGTATGTATATATTTTACTTTTGGGATTGAGAAATAAACGAGATTGTTATCTAAGAATTTATTTGTTCTCACAATGTAATTTAAATGAATTAAGTCATTAAATGTGTTCATGAATCGATACAATTCAATAAAATTAAATGTAGATTCAATAAACCGTAAACATCAAACAATATTGTATTTGGATGCGATTTTGAATTTTATTTTATAAAAATATCTTTTTTATAATGAAATATACAATAACATTATGGATATCACTAATAGTTTTTTTTCTAAGAAATTGAATTAAATAAGAGGAATATAAGAGGTATTCCAACCCATATACATAACATAATCAAAGTAAGTAATGCATTTCTGACATCAAAAGGTGTTTAATGAAAATAACACAATAACTATATATTTTCTAAAAAGATACCACTAATAGTTATAGATGACAATAGAATAGTCATTTAACTTTTTAATAATCTAGTTTAATATGATCATAAAATAGGAAAAATTAACAATAATAATTTTAAATTTTAAAGAATAAAATATTTTTTTATAAAAATTAAAATCAAAACTAATTAATTTTATAAGAATTAAAAATATACTTAGGCCATTCTTATAAGTTAATGACTTGTGAAATATAGAAGTTGTGAGTTTTTTTATTATTACTTTTTTATGTTGAAAGTATCGCTATTGATTTTAATTTTTTAAAATACAAAATTGCTGACTAAATTAAGATCTAAATTTTTACCGCACGTGTAACGACCTGACTGGTCACTACACACGGTACAGCACACTAGAAACACTGCACAGAAGAGAACAGATGTATATATATAGAGTCTAGAATATACATATACATGAATCCAGTCTGAACAGAGTTAAAGTGTACAAAAGAAATTACAGTCACATGCTACTATCCTAAGTAGCTACACAGCAAAATAATCACAAAGCAATCAGCTCCACGGGTCTGCCGGAGACTCCCCACCAGACACCTACCTATCCCTGCTCTGCTCCCATACATAGTATGATCATCGCAGTCCAACATCATGGAAACAACCAAAGGGTAAGCTAGTGTAATTAAAAATCAACATGCAAATATATATATATATAGCAAAATAATAACAACAGATATAGTTATCAGCACATCAGACAACTTATACCACTCAACAATATCAGCACTGCAATGCGGCAATATCAGCATTGCTTAGCAGCAACAACAGCACCTCTCAAGTGGCTATAACGGCACCGCAAAGCGGCAACAACAGCACCGACTTAGCGGTTATAACAGCACCACATATGTGGCTAATAACAGCATCGACTCAGCGGCTATAATATCACACAACTCAGCACAGCACAGCACAACATATCACAGCACATCAATTCAACACCTTCATTGTTTTCCACAATTCAGCCCAACCTTCTATAGTTCCGCTATAATATAAAAGTTTGCATATTAAATTCATCGATTTCAGCTTAACAATACACCTCTAGTACGACTAACATTATTATCTCAACTTTATCCCATAGCCAGCACAACATATTCATCAAATACAACTTAGTTAAGCATATAACAACATTGATTAACAATCTCAGTGCAATTCAACAACTAACAGCATGTATGTCCATATCTCTTTGCGCGCCCGGCGCACTCGAGGTTGCGCCCAGCGCGACCTAACCCCGAGAACACCAGGACCAGTGCGCCCAACGCAAGACTACTCGCGCCCGGCGAGACTCAACATGAGAGCACCAAGGCTCTCACGCGCCTGGCGCAAATCCCAATTGCGCCCAGCGCCTGCCTGGCAGAGACTCAAGGAGTCTCGTGCGCTCACGCGCCTGGCGTGGGGAAGGCAGGGACTTACCAAGGTCTCGCGCCCGGCGCAATTCACATTGCGCCCAATGCCTTCTTGGCAGAGACTCCCAAGGAGCCTCCGCGCCCAACGAGTTCAAATGCGCGCCTAGCGCGGCACCAGAGTACCCAAGACATGTCACCATTGATATCGCGCTCGGCGCAACCCAAGTCACGCCCGACGCGGGCCAACCAGAGACTCCCATTTGTAAGCTCGCCCGGCGCACACAGCCTTGCGCCCGACGGGCTTGCCTAAATTGAGTCTCCTGGTGGTCGCGCGCCCGGCGCGAAGAACTGCGCCCAGCGCGAACTCATCAGTAACTCCCCCCAAGTTTGAAAAATTTCTAAAACCTGCAAAATTTCACAGAAAACTCACATGCAAACGATTCAAAGTGCCACATTTTCATCAAGGAGCTCGAAAGTACCAGCT